GGAGGGAGGGAGGGTAGGGAGGGAGGAAGGGAGGAAGGAAGGAAGGTAGGAAGGAAGGAGAGTAAGGAGTAGTTTCCAGGGCACCAAGGTTACTGAGCAAGCAGTGGAGGTAACAAATAGGCCCAGGCTTTGGGTACAAAGTGGTAAAGACAAAGAGAAGCCCAGATTTAGAGTGTAGGGCAGCAGCCTCTGCACATGCAGGTGGATACACTAGTGAAGGCCATGTACCAGGCTGCTTCGAGGAAGGTGTTAGAGGCTGGAGAAGGTATTGCTGCTCCTAGCTCTGTTCCTCATCAGCTAGTGGCCTCAGGATACCTCCATTACCACAGGCCTCTGTTTTTTCTCCCCTCCATGGCCCTTCCAGGTCTATAGCCTGTCAGGTTGCTGAGTTCTCCGAGAGGCACAGATTTCCTCTGAACATCTCCCCGCCCCCCAAAAGAATCAGCTACTTTACTCAGAGTAACGTTCAAGTGCTCAAACTGGCAATGTAAAATGAGATGCAAAGAGCGATGTAAAAAAGATAGAGGCATGTCTAAGGACATGAGTCTGTAGAAGTTAGCAGCAGGAGTGTCAGCCAACTCTGGAAAGTGTCCGATTACATGATCCAGGCACTACAGCCATTCGTTAAGAATGTACCTAAATTAGTTCGGTTAAGAATTCCTGAAAACTGCCCAGGGCTCCTAGCTGACACCCACGTTCAGGGGGCCTGTTTTGGTCCTATGTTGGTTCCCCAGCTGTCAGACTGGGGTCCGTGAGCTCCCACTTGCTCAGGTCAGCTGTTTCTGTGGGTTTTCCCAGCATGGTCTTGACCCTTTTGTTCTCACTCCTCCCCCCTCTCTAGGAGCACCAGGAACTCTCTGGGGCTTCTGTCAGTGGAACCAGGATGTATCCCTTGTGCACGAACGGACTTTGGGAGCCCATTTCCACAGAGGGATACGCTCTTAGCCTAAATACACAGGGGAGGGCCCAGGCCCTGCCCCAAATGACTTGACAGATTTTGATGATCCCTCACGGAAGGCCTCACCCTCCCTGGGGAGTGGATGGGGGATGGGATGGGGGGGGTCAGTGGGGGGTATGGGAGGATGGGAGGGAGAGGGAACTGGGATTGATATGTAAAATAAGATTGTTTCTAACTTAAATAAAATTTATAAAAAAAAATTCCTGAAAACTGAATTTGCTTCTATAAGTGTGCCATGTGCAAAACAGAAGTGG